GCATTTAGCTAAATGCTAAAATAAAGGAAAATGTAGCTCAAAAGTAAAAGTAGCTAAACTGTAACTACGGGCTAAATTTGTCTAAATAATAGTTGAAAGCTAAAATGAGCAAACCCAAAGCTAAAAGCTACAATAAGCAAAAGAGTGGTGGAGCACTAAATGTGGCTTGATAGCTAAAAGCAAAAAATATTCAAACTTTAGTTACAAGCTAAAATTAACTAAGCCACAAACAAAAACTGTTTTACAGAACATCTTTCAAAAGCTGAACAGTTCATGAGAAAACTAAAGAAACAATTTTGTTGAAATACAGTAGTTCTCAGGAAACGATGTTTTAAATAAATTAATGTCATTTCAATGTATTTAAAAAAGATTAATAAAATAATTGTAAAAATAATTAACATGAGCTACACTGAATGAATAGTTCAAACAGCAGCAAGTTTGCAGAAGTAGGCTATTTTTTATTAAAAACACACAGAAGAAACACCAAACAGGGTGTGGTGTAAAAGCTGACTCAGCAAATATCTATTTTTTTTCTTTCTGACATAAWAAACCTTTTTCTGGGGTGTGTTATTTATAGAAACGCTCTCAGCCTTTGTTGTCCAACTCTGTTCACTGCAGCTTGTGGCTCTATATTTAGTCAGACTGATGTGWGATCTGACCTCTGATGTTTTCAACAGGGCACCCTGTGGAAGAGAAGTGGGAGCTCTCTGAATAAGGAGTGGAAGAAGAAATATGTCACTCTGACCAACAATGGCACCCTGTCTTATCACTCCAGCTCCAGTGTAAGAGAAACAAGTCCACACCGGTCGATACAGCAGTAAAACACACGAGACTTGCACATTTGCACATTAAGTCCCATCAGCCACTCTGCACCTTTCTAAATTCAAACAGTCTAAAGGCATCAGCCYGGCTACGAATAAATGGAGTTCAGTTCAATCTCACTTTGATCCTCTAAAACAAAGAYCCAGACAGACTTTTCTACATGCATGGGGTCTGATTTAGACTACACATGTCAAAACTACCCCACCCATGGGCCAAATGTGGCTCGCCACAGCATTTCATGTGGCCCACAAGAGCTTCAGAGATTTATTAACTCAATGCATTAAAATAAGCAAACACTGCTCTAAAGCATRGTACTATCTCCCATAATGCATGTTGATTATTTTATGTGCAAAATAATGGCATCCTACCACTAGGTGGAGCTGCACGGGGTTCAAAAGTAGTATAAATTTGTCAACTAAAATCTCAATTTCCCTGCATTTTTGTCGGTTATTTTTGCTGCGTCCTAGATGTAATGAGAAGTAGGACTTTCCCACTAACAAGTTGTAAATTTAAACTCCACCCACAGTGAAAACTCCCTGTTCCCAGAATTCAAGACTTCCCATATCTCATCAGTAAAAAAAACTCTCCTATTTTTAATTTTAATAGTATTTCTGTTTTATTTATTTCACATTTACTCAGTCGTACACGTAGTACTTTTCATTGTTTAGAACACACAGTGTTAAAACACTGTTTCTATGCAGGAAAAACCACGTAGAGCTCAGTAATTGTTTGTTAGCAGTGCTCRGCCATAGCAATAAGATGAGGAACGTGATGTTTTGTTTATTGAAAGTTATAAATGTAACGTTGAAGTTAATTACAAATGGCCCTTTGAGGGCCACTACAACACTCATGTGGCCCTTAGTAAGTATAAGTTTGAAACCGTGAACAGAATGTCTGTAATTGACACAGATTTTCTCTCATTTTGCTTTAGAGTAATCTAACGATTTTTATTTTAAAAACTCTGCTTCAAATTAATTTTCTCTCAGAGCCTGCAGGACGATAAAAACAATAAAAATAAAATTAAATAAGTCAGATAAAGTTAGAAATAAGTCCACCGCTCTTCTCCCCGTCCTCTGCCCCTCCTGCCTGCTCTGTTA